TTTTTTTTTGCATGGTGCCGACAACCCCCGACTGCTAGGTGCCGACCAGCCGATTGGTCGGCGGGTCGGCAGCCAACCAGTCAAGGGCCGCCGACCGTCGGGGGGTGCAACACTGAACCTAACTGATGCTCCCCAGAATGGATACAGAGCCAGGACCATAAGGCCCTGTTTTATTTGGGTGGGGGGGGGGAAAGAAAGTTTTCCAGTTAAGGTCTGCAGAGTCATTAAAGCAGATCCTGAAACACCTGGTACTTTACCACCAGGAAATTTCTAGCTTATGAGAGGCTCAAGCACTCCATATGTCTTCCCCAGAATAGAATGTACGGTCATTGTCGCTCTATTTAGAAAATATTTTAGACCGAAAGTCGCCCCAAAAAGTGCAGCTATTGGGTGACGATGATATAGCTAGGATCAGTGGCAGAGGTGATCAGCAAGCGTTCTGCATGATAGTGTTGTTTTTCTTGAGGCTAACACGTGCTGATCATCTCCGCCACTGATCCCAGCTATATCATCTTCTCCCAAACAGAACGAGCGGTCATGATTTTCCCTGTCATTATAGCCTGGGATCTAGCGACTATAACCCCAGGATATGGACACAGAGACCATCGGATATTGCCAAGATGGATCTAATGACTGTAAACCTCGACGCAGCTGCAGTAGGCAGAACAGAGGGAAGATGGATGAATAACAAGGAACAGGCAAGAATGGCATTGCACTCTCTCGATTATCCAATTTGTTGTCGTACGCAGAGACTGTGTTAAAAGGTGTGGTCATGAGGTGGCCTTAGTGCGGCAGCTGAGATCACCCCTTGTGCCTTTTCTCCCTCCTCCACTATGAAGTGAAACAATGAGATGAAGTACGCAAACCCGGGCCAAAGGAAAAAAAGAAAAGTGCACCTACCGCAGCTGGAACAACGAGGAGTGTCTCGTTCCTGATCGTGATTGACGTTCCGCGCCCGACACAGTGCTTAACAAGCTTTCTGCCAACTGCAGGATGACCACCGAACAAACGCACAATCAACCCTCTCTTTAGGGTCTATAAATAGAGATGAAAACCTGCACAAAAGGGGACATGCAGCTGCAGTGCCAATTCTGATTCGCTAAAGCTTGATAGCAACATGGCGAGTCGCTGAAGGAACACCTGCGCAAAAGGGGACATGCAGCCGCAGTGCCAGTTCTGATTCATTAAAGCTTGATAGCGACATCGCGAGTGGCTGAACGGTTTCACAGCACCCTTGATAGCTGATGTTTGGTGATTGCACCCCACCCCACCCCACACACACATGTGCGCGCACAGGACCTAATCACAGGAAAGGCAGAAAAAGGAGAACAAAGCGAAGGAAGCAGAGAAATGGACGCACGCACAAACCTTCAGAAGAGGGGAAAAAAAAAAAAAAAAAAAAAAAAAAACCAGAAACTGACGTACTATTCTGCTGTATCCCCTTGCGTCCTTTCGTCTCGACTCTTGATTGATTTTTTACTTCTTTTCTTTTTTCTTGTCGCTTCCCCCTTCTTTTCAATTGGCTCTTTGTGTCTTGCGTCCTTTCACTTTTTTCCTTTCTCCTTTTGTCGTCTTTTTTCTTTTCCTTTTTTTAACAAACAGGTGCCCTCATCTCGGAAGTCAGGCCTGCGAGCCCCTTGAGCCTGGGACCTTTCAAGAAATAAGGAATATCCCCTAGTCCGAAAGACATGATGAAGGTAGGATTAAGAAGCCAATTGAGATCGCCTGCTTCACGAAGATGCATCGGATGTCCTCGTGCCCTCACTGACCGCGCTCTTTTTACAGAAAAGAAGGTCCAGCTTGGATGGTGCCAACCACTTGCACAAGTAAAGGTGGTCCACCTTGGGTAGTGATAACCACTTGGACAAGTATGCAGAACGCAGCACTATTCATAACTCATCTCTACGCATGCATGCCTTGTCGTTTGGCTGCCATCCTGCCTTGCTGCCTTATCGCCTTTCAGACTCGTGCGCTGTTGCTCTGTTGCCTCACTGCCTTCTTGACGTGATGCTTGGTTGCCGGCTGCTCATAGGGTCTCACTGCCACTTGCCTTGTTGTTTGCCTGCCTTGTCGCCTGACATATGCCTTTGTTTGGCTGCCTTGTCGCCTGACGTATGCCTTTGTTTGGCCCACCTCTCTCCCCCGTGCTCTTCAGCCTATATTCCTTGCTCTTGCTTGTTGTCCAAGTGCCCTGTTGCCTGGCCCTTGCTTTGCTGATTGGGACATCACCTGTCGGCTGCCCGGTTGCAACAGGGGTTGCCTGCTATGTGCCTTGTTGTTTGGCTGCCCGCCTCGCTCCCCCGTGCTCTTCAGCCTATATTCCTTGCTCTTGCTTGTCGTCCAAGTGCCCTGTTGCCTGGCCCTTGCCTTGCTGCATGGGATGTCACCTGTCGGCCGTCCACTTGCAACAGGGCGGCTTGCCTGCTACTATATGCCTTGCTGTTTGGCTGCCCACCTCTCTCCCCCGTGCCCTCCAGCCTATATGCCTTGCTCTGCTTGTCTTCCAAGTGCCCTGTTGCCTGGCCCTTGCCTTGCTTCTTGGGAGTCGGGACGTCATCTGTCTGCTGCCCACTTGCAACAGGGGTTAACGGGGATCACTACTAAAAATATCAACATAGGGATTCTAAACGCTGTTGACGGTCCAGCACCCTGATGCATCAGTGCAAGTCTCACAGAATAGTGCGTCATTACTCTTGTTCTTTTCTTGTGTGTTTATCCATAAGTGTTTGTCTGTTTCTGTTCTCTGTATCTGCATATCTGTGGAGATCTTTGGGAATCGTATTGCTAGCCTATGTTAATCTCCAACAGGAAATATCTCGAACATAGTCAATGGGACAAAGAGGAGATCTTTGGGAATCGTATTGCTAGCCTACGTTAATCTCCAACAGGAAATATCTGGAACAATCAACATAGTCAATGGGACAAAGAGTAAGCAGGGTGGTTAGACCCGGCAGCATGAAGTGTGCGGAGCAACATGGTGTTCTGCTATGGATTGTGTGAATGAAAACAACTTATTATCAAAATGGCCGTACCACAGATTGTTGTGGCCTTTCTTAACTCAGTGCGCTACACACACACACACACACACACACACACAATCAGTTTTATGCATATCTGTCTTCCCCATGTCGTTTGTCTTCCCTCTGTAAGTTCTTTTTGTGTGGCCAACTGAGCACCTTCAAGTAGTGCCAAACAGTCGGTCATTCCTTGTCTGATGTGCCTACAGCACTCTTAGGGGGGCCGCTCGATTTGGGCTGTGTGTTGCCTGTGGGTGATGACGGATGCTCGTCGAAGTGTCTCCCTGGCTCAGTGGGTGGTGGGAGCCAACAGTCTGCGGGGTTCAATGGTGATGTGAGTAGGGAATGTGAGGCTTTGCTCCATGTTGGATGTGTCGACTCCCTCGTCTGCTTCTCCGCTGCTGCCTTGCTGCCTGTCCCACTTGCTTCACATGTGGTTCTCTGCAAGTTGATGTGTTTGCTGAGTGGTGTGGCCGTGTTGTTGGTGTTGCCTTCCGCTTTGCTGCTCCGCTGCCTTGCTGCCCATCCACTGGTCGTGCATTCCGTGTTTATTGCTTGCATGCCTTGTAGGTTGGTTGCCTTGTTGCTGTTGCCTTGTGCTTCGCTACACGGCTGCCGAGATGCTGGTCCGCTCGCCCTGTCGTCCTTTGAATTGTGGTTGCCTTGTTTGTGTTGCCTTGTGCTTCACTACGTGGTTGCTGTGCTGTTCATACGCCATCTGCTTGCCGTGTCGTTCCTTGGAGACGTTTTTGGCGCTCTGCATCCGTGTTGCCTCTACTGCGTTGCCTGGTGCTCCGCAGGGTTGCTGACCGCTGCTATGTTCAGCTTGGGGACAGTCTGCCTTCAACAAGGGTCAAAGGGTTCAAGACCCAAACCATCTAATACAGAGATTCCGCAGATTGCCGAGGGTTCAGCCTCCTGATGAATCGGTCCAACTCTGACAAAACAACCTTGTTATCATCAGTTTCTTTTTTCCGTTCAGTCTCCTGTTTTTTTTGGGACTTCAATTTTTACTTCAAGTTGCCCTTTGTGGGCATGAGTGTCATCTGCCCTCCCGCCCCCTCCGCGCCCGATCACCTTTGCTCATTGTTCTCGCCTGTATACTTTGTTGTCGTCTGCCTTTGTCTGCCCACCCGCCTCCCCCTTGCCCTCCAACCTTTGCCCTTTGTTGCTGCAGACATCACATGCCTTGTTACCTCTTGCCTCCCCTGTGCTCTCCAACCATTGTCCCTTGTTGCTGCCTATATTTCTACACCTTGTTGTCTTATGCCTTGGTGTCCCCACCCACCTCCCCCTTACCCTCCTTCCTTTGTCCTTTGTTGTTGCACGTCATGGCATGTTTTGTTGCCACATGCCTTTTACTTCACCATCTTTCGTCTGCCTTCCCTTTGTTGCCTTACACTGTTTGTTTGCACTTTACGCTGTTTGTTTGCATGCCTTTCCTCTGTTGAAGACCTAGTGCCCTGGGGCTCTAGCCCTTGTGTTTTTGTAGGGCTGATGAAAGATAGAGGCCGCTGTGTGCACATTCTTATGCTTTCTTGTTGGGTATGTGCGGCTTCTGTAGTCACCATGAGATGTGGATTGTTTTGTTCTGGTATGTGTTTGATTGCATACTTGATCGCAGCACGCTGTGATTTGCGTCATGGTGGACCTATGATTCATTAAACATACAGACACACAGATCTACACCCAAATCTGAACAAAAGAATGTATGAAGGAAAAATTGGTGCACACACACGCACAAACAGATGTACACCCAAGTGTGAACAAAAGAATGTATGGACAAAACATTGGTGCGAAGACTGCAAGAATGTAGAGAAGTCAGTGATTTTAAGAAGCAGTGGCAATAGTCCTCATACGAAAGTACAGCAGGAAGCGTATAGTCACACCCATGATGGAATATGGCATGAGCCACTCTCCACCAGTCGCTCCAGAACTCACTTCCAACTCTGTCTCAAGATTTTTCACAGGGGTGGCCAGAGCCAAAATTGAGAGAGCTGGAAAACACCCTTCAATGACAAGAAAAGAGAAGGGGGCAGGGCCTATGCTGCCTATTCAGCAGGACTTTGACTCATAGTTTATTTATTAGGAGATGCGTGCGTGCAGTATTGAGCAATGAGGCAGCACAATCTAGCTGAAGACTTGGGAGACAGTTTCGGGAAATCTCAACCAACTGTTTTTCCAAGCTCTACCCAAGGGACCCTACCAACCTGCCATGGATTGCTGCCCAACCGACGCAGTAAAGGGTAGTAGTTGGGAGTCGAGCTGATCCTTCACACAATCAGAATCATAGCTTTAGCTTTCAACAAGGAAAAGGGCAAGGAAAGAATCACCATCTGCACACACCCAATACCAATTGAGTGCCAGCGCAGACGTACGACACATTGATAAGCGTCATTATGAAACTGCCACCTTGCGCAGCATGCATAAGCTCTGACTTTGCCAAACAGATTTTTGAACCAAGAGTACCTCGCCCAGAGTCGAAATCGAGCCATTCCGTAGGATTTTCTGATGAACAGTGCGACGGATCAAAATGCCTGGCGGCGCCAAGAAACACGGAGAAAAGTGCGCTGCTGGTGGACCGTTTTTCATTGGCGCACAGTGCAAGTCCACGTTGGGAGAAAGAGGCTCGGAGGTACTGGTCATTTAAGCCATCTGCAACTTACCATTCCCAATCCGACGTAGAGTTTCCTTGTGTCCCAGCACCAGTGCTTCAGGTTTGTGCTGTTCAATTATGCTCAGACCTGCTCATCCACATCCAGAAAACCATAAATCATATGAAAGAGGCGGCCATGTTTCAGTGTGATGTATCAACAAGGCAATGATCTCTCTCGTTTCCATCTTGGATCACAGAATGTCTTGTCTCGCATGTGTGTGGTAGAAGGTGTCCTCTGGAAAAGGACAGAAACTGTACAAAGCAGAAGTATCTGTTGGAGAGAAAAAACCGACCATGACAGAGCAGCAGAGGGGTGAATAGAGAACTCCTTTCAGGGAAAACCAGCGGTTTCTAATTGCAGCTTCAGTCAGAGGGGCAGTCAGCCTCAGCACAGCTGGAGGGAGCACATGAAAGGGGTGTGGAACGTGATAATGATAACGAGTATGAGGCTATGAGCCCTTCCCATCGTTGCTTTCACACGATTAAACCACCAGTACCCCAGGGGGGATTAGGCCCCCTCTGGGGAGGCTCTGACGCAAATGCATATGGACCCGTGCCGCGCACCAATTCAGCCACCGCGTTATCGGCCTAAGAACGTGGAGGTACTGGTGGTCTAACGGTAGGGATTTCACCATTGCGCACAGTGATGACCATCACTGTCATCTGTTTCCTCGTCCCACTATGGACTTAACAGCAGTGTTGGACCCGCCGACGGTCGGCGGCCCTTGACTGGTCGGCTGCCCCCCCCCCCCGTCGACCGATTGGGTGGTCGGCACCTACCGGTCGGGGGTCATCAACACCCCGCATTTTTTTTTATTTTTCTTTTGGGGTCCAGAACCCCTAATAACACCACTAACACCCCAATAGCAGCCCCCCATAACCCCATGCACCACCCCAACACCCCCGAACCGCCCCCAATACCCTTATTAAACCACCAACTCCTATACTCCCCCTATACTCCCCCTGTACTCCAACCCATACCTGCGGCACATCGCGTGGGCGTGAGCTCCGCACATGCGGCGCATAGCGCACGCATGTGATGCGGCGCACCCCAATAAATAGGGTTAAAAAAAAAATGGAGAGGGCTGGCTGAGGTAGCCAATGGTGCACTCTCAAGAGACGTTCAGCAAATTTCGTGTGAGAGAGGAGCAGGCCAGCAATATATGTTCTGCATCCGAAGTCAGGTCTGCTTTCGAGCAGTTATGGGTTACAAGTTACACCTACTTACTACCGTAGCTCTCTGTTTCTTTTGTTTCGTTTTCCCACGAGAAGTGGCACTAGGGGCCTTGCTCCACTCTTCACTACTTGCACAAAAGACAAAACATACGGCAGCGTATGGTTCCATGTTCTAGCAGAAGATTCATTCCTCTCTTTCTTTTGTTTCCTTTTCCTACAAGCAGTGGCCCTAAGGGCCTTTCTCCACTCGTCACCACTTGCACAAAAGACAAAACATATGGCGGCGTACGGTTCCATGTTCTAGCAGAAGATTCATTCTAGTTTTGCACATTTGGTGAGTAGTGGAGGGAAGCCCTGAAAAGCACCTGGTGAGTTGGCCTGCTACTGCCCAGAAACTCGTGTGCTCAGTGGTCCCATAACTGCTGAAACACCGACCTTAATGTGAATCAACAGCATATATACTTCGCGTGCCATGACTCTAGCTCGGATAACCCGCAGGGGTTTTCAAATAAATGCTAAGGAGCTATTTTTTTGCGCATCGGTAACCAGCACACTTCCACCGCAGCAGCACTATTCAATTTGAGTTTTCGACCTAGTGTGGCCATGGCGGAATATTGTATGATATATTGAATACGACGCAGCTTGGTACGATTGTGTACAAAATTATAATAATTACAAACACCTTGTAGAATCTGATTAAATTTTTTAAGAATCTTTGCAATATCCAAGTTCACCCAGGCCAATTTGGCATGTGGTTAAGTTTTCTTTCCTTCTTTACTCGATTATGTAATCAATCGCTTATCTTACTTTGTGTTCTACCCACTGTAAGAGTTTGAACTTCACAAGACCGACCATACAATACATACGTAAAAGAAAGCCTCAGCATCGATCAATCCAGCAAATTAGAATTGAAAGTAGACGCAAAGTGAGTGGCTTGCCGCTTTCTTCCTTTCTTTCCATCTCATTAATGAAACAAGTGAGATGCGTTGCGTAAAGTCTCTGAGGATCCCAAATGCTCCAAACCCAACCCCCCCATACCCCCCAATACCCCCCCCTCCATCCCCAAAAGTTTCTCAGCGGATTTGGGCTGTACTTCGCAAGCACAGTACAGCCCCCAACTCAGATTTGAAAAAAAATCAGTGGATGGTTGTTTTCTGACTGGTCGGCAGACCGCCGACCGGTCGGCCCTACTGGTCGGCTGCAATACGGTCGGCGGTCGGGGTCGGCGGTCGGCAGGGGTGCAACCCTGCTTAACAGCGATCATAATGATTGAGTTCAGCAGCCCTTGTCATCAAGTCCTTTTAGAAGTAACCACCATGGCTACCAGAGGATATGTCTGTCAAACAACCCTCTACATGCAGCTAACCACAAGTGGACATGCCTGCATTGCCTGGTGGGTACATGTCCAGATATCTGTTATCATTTCCCCACCTGAAACCCAGAACATGCAGACATGTCCGCCAAGAGTGCACTGGCGTTTGAAGCACGGCTATGAAGGGCCCAGGGAGGATTACAAGATGCTTTGCACACAAAAGGGGGAAGGAGGCAAAGGGTTCCCAGAATACTTTGCACACAAAAGAACGAGGGGAGGGATCCGAGGGAAGGATGTGGAGGGGTATACATCCCAAACTGATGAAGAGGGAGCATCAAGCACATGCTGCATGTCTATGGGGGCAGAAACAGAGAGAGAGAGAGAGAGAGAGAGAGAGAGAGAGAGAGAGAGAGAGAGAGAGAGAGAGAGA